GGGATGGGATGGGATGGGATGGGATGGGATGGGATAGGATAGAATAGGATAGAATAGGGAGGAGGAGAAAGGAGAATGGAATGGAATAGAATGGAACAGAACAGAACAGAACAGACTTTACTGGCCAAGTGTGATTGGACACACAAGAAATTTGTCTTTGGTCCATAGGCTCCAGTGGACATAAGAAAAAAATAAAAATATATTCATTAAGAAACATAAGATACAACACTTAATGATAGGCATAGGTTACTAATGAGCAATCAAATCATACTAGGAAACAAATAAAACAATATAAATTGTAAAGATACAAGCAACACGGTTATAGCCATAAGTAGGAAGAGATAGGTAATAGGAAGGATGAGAAGAAGAATAGTAATACAGTCTTACTAAGTAGTTTGACAGTGTTGTGGGAATTAGTTGTTTAGCAGACTGATGGCATTCAGGAAAAAACTGTCCTTGTGCCTAGTTGTTCTGGTGTGCAGTGCTCTATCGTGTCATTTTGAGGGAAGGAGTTGAAACAATTTATGTCCAGGATGTGAGGGGTCCATAGATATTACATATTTTAGATGATTCTTTCACAAAGTGTACAGAATGTTGTTTGTTTGCATCGTAGTAAAATACTTGGTTTTCTTTTCCAGGGAGAGACACTTTAGATGAGTGTGGTCTGAGGTATCTACTAGCCATGCGCTTACACACCTGCCTTTTAACATCCCTTCCACCTTTATATCGTGTCCAGTTACTTCATCAAGGTAATATTTTAGAATGTAATAAAAGTAATAAATAAGAAAAAATATGAATTTATTACTTCTATATACTTTTAAAGAATTAACACGATTATATTTTGAAAAATGGAAACATTTCTTTTGGTCATTGTGCAGGGGTTTCAACGTGCCACTTTGCTTGGGCATTTCATTCAGAAGCAGAGGAAGAACTGATCAATACGATTCCTGCCATTCAAAGAGGAGACCCCCAGTGGTCTGAGCTAAGAGCCATGGGGATAGGTTGGTGGGTCAGGAACATCAACACGCTTCGACGATGCATGGAAAAGGTAATCAGAGCTAGTATATAGAGCCAGCTTGGTCTGGTGGTTAAGACACCAGGGTAGAAACCAGGAGACTGGGAATTCTAGTGCCACTTTAGGCATGAAAGCCAGCTGGGTGATTTGGGGCCAATCACCAGGAGATTGGGAGTTCTAGTCTTGCCTTAGGCATGAAAGCCAACTGAATGACTTTGGGCCAATCATCAG